CGTTTGCATAGCACTGCGCCATAAACAGATCCAAAGGGAAGCCTCTGTACATCAATACACCTATAAAAATTCAGAAAATATACATTTATATTTGATCAAATATTAATAAATAAATGTATAAAATATATAAATATATTTATAAGTGTATAAATATAAATATAATATAAATAACTGTTATGTCAAATATCAATAAATACAAATTATTGAATCAAATAGCAATGCATTGTAATTTAAACTGCAATCTTTTTCTATCATATAATATTTAACAATATTTATTTAACATTTTGAAGAAAATAAAGCGAAGACTGACATTTTTCATTACAACCAAAAAATACTAAGAAGAAAACTCTCTTGCAAGTGCCATGCCTGAGCGCGTTTGACCCCCAAAGTCCATTTCGTTTGACTAGTGTTATCCATGCCCTGGCCTGCTTGAAGAGGTGACCTCTGCATGGCTTCGATTGGACACAGCCACACAGGTAAAAGTGTGAGCACTAAACATGCATGGAACTGGAAACATAGATGTCGATTATGCAACTGTTCTATGTGCAGCATAAGTGATAGATTTGTTAAACAGCATTATGGGTGGGCGATATGACCAAAATCTTATATCATGATACGAGTCATTTTATTTTCACGGTAATAATATATATCATGATATAGTTATTTTTGCTTTAAATAAGGTCTCTATGATATCAACATTTTTTAATACCATGGATATTTCACAATTCTTGTCAACAGTTTCATATATCACAAAAAATAAGAATAATTATTATAATTATTAAATAAGAATAATTATTAAATAAGAATAAGAAACTAATTACAAGTAATAGGACAATATAAACAAAAGTAGAAAAAATAAGAAATGTTACACACGTTGTATAAAGTAATCAAATGTAAAAAAATGTATTTAAAAAAAACTGCATATTCTTCACACGTGTCAATTAAATAAATACTTCTTATTAAAGTTACAAAAGTGATTTAGTCAAGAGCAGTGAAAGATTTTCTCTCTTTTGTTGATTAGACAGAAAATTTGTTGATCTTGATTAACATGAATGACAGAGAACAGGAATATTAGACTGCTGTCACTTTAAGAGCTGCCTGGATCCAATACTGTTACACATGTATCTTCTTTCTCAGCTGTTTGCTTTCACTTAAGACCTAAATTACTGTGTTTACGAGGATACTTGCAAAGACGTGCATTTTGACACATTAAAGTGTGTGTATTTTAACCGTTCAAGGCCTATAAAGCAGCAAAAATATCTCTGTCTTCAAGTTCTCTGTCGCAAGTTCTCTTTCGCTGCTGATTGCATTTTAACGGCTTACATTACATTTACATTTAGTCATTTAGCAGACGCTTTTATCCAAAGCGACTTACAAATGAGGACAATGGAAGCAATCAAAATCAACAAAAGAGCAATGATATGCAAGTGCTATAACAAGTCTCAGTTAGCTTAATGCAGTACACATAGCAAGGTTTTTTTTTTAAATTATATAATAAATAAAAAGAAAACAGATAGAATAGAAAAAGAATAGAGCATGCTAGTGTTAGAGGCCTTCTTTGCTTTTGTTAATTTTATAATAAAAAGAAAACAAATAGATAGAACACAAAAAGATTAGAAAAGCTAGTGTTAGTTTTTTTTTTTTTTAAAGAAAACAAGCTTACAATCACATTTTTAAAATGCAATGCTTAAAACCGCGTGCAAACGATAAGTTTTCGTGATCATGTAGCACAGCAACGTCACGTGAGCGTGTAACAGCGATAGAAATTATAGTCGAAAATCTCTACCGGTTAACAAATTTCTACCAGTTAATTGTGTCTACCGGTATATCACCCACCCCTAAGCAGCATATTACACACATGAGAGGACCGTGTATCTTTGCACCCCAAACGACTCAAAATAATAAGCTACAAAGTTAACATTATGATGGACTCCATTGTGCTGATCAAGAGTGCTTTTCTTTCCCATTTTCTTCAAAACAGTTGCATCGTAAGTGTGCTCAGGCCTGGAATGTTAAAGTGCAATGCGAGTGAGAGGGAGGTCAATCGTGCCTGAGCAAGTTACAAGGCTAACGTGTCTAATGTGTGTGCACCCTTATAATAACAAAACTGGGAGAGCCACTATTGTGACTCCAGCTTGTAAACATGCTCACCAGCTTCTCGGTATTGGCCGAAGACCAAATCAGTAGGTTCAAGAGCCGCAGCGCTTCCAACGTGTGTGCCCTCCTCACCATAATTGGTCATGTAAAAAGAGATACGGCCCTTGAACACAAAAGCATACCAAACTTAAGCATTATAAAAATGTTATTTTCATTTTATATTGGAATAAACATCACACTAATATCCACTGCACCTCTCACCTGCCTCTGAGACTCATAAAGAATCCGATCCATTGTGTTGAGTAATGTCATCTTCTGATAGAAATTCAAAACCATCTCTTTTGGAAGCTGAAACAGACAAGTAACGCTGTGTAAGTGCAAAAATTGTGGATACTATTTAGTAACCTGCTACCAGCTTATTTCCACACATTATCTTTGCCATATGGTGCAAATAAAAGACTCCACACCTTAGGATCCTCAGACGGATTGATGATCTGGCCCTGTCTGTCCATCACCCTATACACAGGGATTCCTGAGATCACATTGGGCTGAATAAATTCCAGGTGATCAATAAACTCCGCCGAGGCCCCGGGAAACTGCGGCTTCTCCGCTGAAGAATCAAATGGCTGCTGGCGAAGAGCTCCCTGAAGACAGAGACAGAGGATCAGGGAGTGAAATACACAAGCATCAGAGAAGCAGTTCATGAGATCTGATCACATACTTTAACAATCAGACAAAAAACTGCTCAATAATGCCCTCATAAACCAGGGTTATTAGTTAACTAAAACTAAAATCATAAAAAACATTTTCGTTACTTGAAATAATATAATGAAATAGAATAAAACATTAGAAAGTAAACTTCAACTTATTTTATTTCAGCTAGCTGACAAGGCAACATTTCTCATTTTCTCATTCTCAACTTGATGTACTAAAATAACTAAAAATAAAAAGAATATGAATTAAAAACTATATAGACATTAAAAAATAATATTAAAAATGACAAAACAATAAAATTACTAAAACTTTAACCAAAATGAAAATGAACACTGAAAATATCAAATCAATTATTTTATAAATAAAAACACTGTTACACACACACACACACAGACTTTTACACTAGAGTTTTAATAGTCAATTCCTGACCAGTAAGTTTTACTATCTAATGAAGAGATCTTTTATTTTGCCTTTGTTTTGGTTTAAAGGTAATACGGGTCATCTTATGATTTTGATGCAGAAATATAAACAAAAGGTAAGGAGAGAAAATATAGATCCTTTAAAAAGTGGCACTAAAATAAATAGGCTAAATACAATGTAAGATTAAATATTAAGCATGCATATAAGAAAATGCCTTAAAAATACATGTGCCTTAGAATTTGTTAGTGCGTTTTTCATGAAAACAAAGACATGGGGCCCGTTCTTCGTACATCGCTAACTCAGTTAGCTGGATTTGATTGTTGACGATTTGGCATGATCTTGGATTGTTTGGTTCTTCGAAGCTCATCCTGGACTTGTTGTCATAGCAACAGGTCCGTAAACTTAAACCTGCTCGGGAGCAGGCTTATTTCATGTAAACAGGATTAGATTGCATCTTTTTAAGCAGAATTGATACTTAAAATCTGTCCTCTACCACCGCTACTTTATTACAAGAGTACCCTACTAATCCAGGGACAATAATTTAAAATAATAATCATTTAAAAATTAATTTAAAGATAATGTAATAATGTTGTGTAGTCTTTAATACTACAGACACAGACAGTTTTACTCACTGAAAGATTTATTCATTATAAAATAATTACTTCATAATTGTATTAGAGTCTTACACACGCTATACAGATAATGTAGAGTCGTGCATTAATTTGAGGGGTGACATCTATTATGGGAGTGGCTTGGTGGAGCGCAGGAGATGCAGATAACATGATCTTGACCCTTAGGAAAGTTTAATTAACGCGGTCACGTAACAAATCTGTTCAAATATAAAATTAAATGAATTGCTAATTACTACATTGAAATAAAAATGTAAAGCCTGTACAAATATTAGAAATCGTCCAACAGCCTTGAGAAGGTTGAACAGTCCATTACCCACAACAACGCACAGAGATCTGACCAATAGTTATTAGATTAAAACAATTACTAGATGGTTAGATCACACAATCAGACAGATCGAACGCAATTGTGTACTGTTTCTAGGTCAGATGAGGAATGCATATACATAAGCATTAGAAATACTCAAGGACTTAACATTATTTTAGGACTAACATCGTGCTTTTTATTAAGGTGGTTTACTATTGGTATACATTTTATACGATGCAAATTACACCAATGTTTTGAGGTTCGCGCAGCTGCACAGTTCATACATAATGCATGGTTTGCGTATTGATGCACATCTTTATATCAGCTGGTAGATTTAGGATCACAGAGAATACACTTGCTCATACTTAATGCAAGATCATCTAATGCTGGGAAGATAAAAAGTGAATATATTTCAATGACACAAGGCTGCAGGGATTAGCATTGTGTTTTCCTCCACACACCCCCCAGAACCAGCCAATCGGCTCTTAGTGTAAACGCACAGTGAATTCTATTCTATATAAATATTTTTTAGAATTGAAAATATTTGTTATTACTATATATTATGTATATTATACTATAATAAGTATAATGTATACAAGTATAATAATAATATTTTAGGAACTGGCCCTTCAAAGGGCCTTGGAAAAAACTTAAAACTACATTTCAGCAAACCATGCTACTATATTGGCACTTAGTTAGTATTTCACTCAGTTGTATTGTGTGTATATTTTTATTTTATTTGCTTATAGAGCATGCATTATGTTTAAGGCTTTTACCTAGAAATAGTTTGAACAGCTTTTAAAAATTCCAATTAAATCGTGAAGACTATAATTGCATGCCTAATATTCATGTCAGGTGTTTAATAATAAGTGTCTTTCATTTCGGTAATGACATTATTCATACGCTCCTCCATCAGTGTTCGTCGTCTCGGCCTGCACTGCCAGTTCTCACCATTAGATGTCAGTCTGGTACAGACTCCAACTCTTCTCATGTTGTTGTTTCGTTAGGAGTCCGTGAGCGCGCGAGAGAGCAGTGCGTGCGCGAGACGTGCGAGGCTGCGCTTCTGTTGACGCTTCATCCTCGCTCCTCTGTCACAGTCATCCTGCAGGTCATCCACGATGATGGCTCTGTATCCTGAACACCAGCAAAACCATTTCTAATGTGTCTTCAGTTAAGAAAAGGGCATATGTAATACGTCCGGTAATATTATTTGACCACTTTTAGTTACTCACTCACTGTTGAAGAGAAGGCGTAAGGGTCGATTCATTCAAAATATAAGGGTGATGAGCATATTAATCTGAACAATTACAACGTTTAATTTGTTCAAAGTTAGCTTTGGGTTCAGCAAGGTATTTTTAAAAAAAAATGTAATACTTTTTGTCATCGAAGATGTATTAAATTGATCAAAAGTGACAGTAAATACTTTTTATTTTAAATAAATGATATTAGTTTTAACAGTCTATTTAAGAATCTTTCAAATGTATCCCTCTTTCCACAAAAATATTAAACTACACAACTGTTTTCAACATTGGCAATAATAAGAAATGTTTCTTGAGCAGCAAATCAGCATATTACAATGATTTCTGAAGGATCATGTGACACTGAAGACTGACGTAATGGCTGCTGAAAATTCAGCTTTACCATCACAGGAATAAATTACATTTTAAAATGTATTAAAATAGAAAAGAGTTAATTTATATGGTAATATGTTTACAATATTACTGCATTTACTGTATTTTTGGTTAAATAAATGCAACCTTGGTGAGCTTCAAGAGACCTTTTTCATTTAAAAAAAAATCATACTGGCCCCAAACTTCCACGTTACTGTTGATTGTTTTTTTCTGTCCCATTTTCTTGCATTCTTACTGTGTCCCCCTACAGTTTGAGTCCTTATCTAACTGTCAGCTGCTGTCATGCTGCCTGAATGCTGCCTGTATGGCTCTAATGGATGCCGGGCTGCCCATGAGCCACCTTTTTTGTAGTGTGACCTGTGCAATTAGCAAAGAGGGCCAGATAATCACTGATCCTACAGCTCTGCAGGAAAAGGTACACACCGCACTTCCTGTTGCCCATGGCTGGTACAAACCATAGCGTACAGGTTAAGCTCTTGATCTGTGTCTTTTATGTTTTCTTTCCAGGAAAGTCGAGCGTTGTTAACATTTGCTATTGATAGCGTTGAGCGCAATGTTTTGATGTCATCAACCACAGGCTCTTTTTCAGTCCAGGAGGTGAGATCGGATGCGCATTTCATTCTTGCGTGTGATTCATTGCTCCGTTTGTGGTGATGATACATAGGTATTTGTGTGTGTTTAATAACCTGCTTGAATTTTCTACAAGGCAAAGACATAAATGTTTTCTTCCCACACAGCTGCAGCAGTGCATCGCAATCAGTCAAAAGGCTTCTGAACAAATTTTCCAGTTTTATAGGCATTCTGTCAAACGCCGATATTCTAAGATAAAATAAAACACGCTTGTTGGGATTTTTACTTTGAGTTTGCATCATCATTTCCTCACTGTGTCTCTGTATATATATATATATATATCTTATAAATCATACAGAATGAGTTTTTTGAGAAAGTAAAAATGCAGAAAGTTTCCTGTGACGTGTAGGGTTGGTGTAGGGCGATAGAAAATACGGTTTGTACAGTATAAAAACCATTACGCCAATGGAGAGTCCCTACAAGGATAGCTGACCAGACGTGTGTGTGTTCACCCACAAAGCTTTACAGAGCAATTATATTACTCCCAAGATGGTATTTTTAGCACTTCAACATTTCATTTTGTAGCTTATGCCGTATTAATTTGCATTTTGCATACTCGTATACTACTCAAAAACATCTCCAAATAAGTGTTTTTATGCTGTGCTAATAATAAAATGAGAAGTATGCCAATCTGCTACCCAGGTGTTATAGTTTCTGTTCTTAAATAGCTAATAAATAGCTGAATGTTTAAAAAAAACATCTTAATAGAGTCCTATTAAGTCAAATGGACCATAATGCTGCTTTTTCTGTAACCCAAAGCACGTTTGAGCTTAAAAAAAGCAATTTTAAGACCACTGCCTTGGGAACCGTAGCTTTCAAAATGAAAAAGTGATCGAGATTTCCATTAGACTGTGTGAGCTGGGTCAGTGAGAAAATTGCATAGTATATTAATATGCATTATCATTAATTGCTGTTCACCGCAGTTGTGCTTGATCTTCCATTTAGTTCCTCTAAAGATGTGTATTGTAATGAGTATCATTAAAACAGTAGGCTCTTTCCACAACATCACTGCAAGTGCAAGTATTATAAAGGCAAAACCAAATAAAAATTTCAATCAAGTGCATTTATTTGTTCATAACAGTTACCTGCAAAATTTACATACACATTTGCACATTTACATACCTCCTCTACATTAACATCATTAATGTAGAGGAGGAATAAAATAATGACAGGAGAGGATTTCTCTGGTCTGTATTCCTGTACTGAGACTCGACCGCAGCACTTTAACCTATACACTTGGAGGACTGTTTGTGGTGCTCTTCAGTGATCCCACACAGGCAATGATAGCTTACCGGAGGGGGCTGTGCTATCGCTCCTCTCCGCTGCTCCATGGGGCAGCTTGTTGTATAAGTAATACATAATTTCCTACCATGATGTGACCCAATTTCTAACTGCGGGGAGCGCGAAGGGCACCTGCCAAGGCAGTTTATGCTGACCGCTGTTTTGTGGTTTAATCTTTTGGAACAGGGCACATTTCAACTTTTAAATCACATGGGGTTTTCTGATTGTAGTATTGTGCCCTTGACATTTGAATATCGACTTTATCTGTAATGGACAGTGTACCATACAAATGTTTGGGGTCGGTAAGATGTTTTAATGTTTTTTAAAGACTCTCATCCTCCAAAGGCTGCATTTGTTTCATTAGTAAGTAAAGTCGGTAATATTGTGAAATATTATCACAGTTAAAATTAAATGTTATTTATTTGGATATATTAAAAAAAAAATTATTTCTTTAATGGCCTTAATGGTCTTTAATCCAGTCTTCAGTGTTACATGATCCTTCAGACATCATTCTAATATGATGATTCGGTGATCAAGAAACATTACTTATTATCAATTACATTTTAAAATGTTACAAATAGTGCTGCTTAATATATTTTTGTGAAAACAATTACCTTTTTTATGAATAGAAAGATCAACATTTAGTTAATGTCTTTACTGTCACTTTTGATCAATTTAACATCTCCTTGTTGAATAAAAATATTAATTTCTTTCAAAAAGCTGACCCCAAACATTTGAACGATAGTGTATTTCAGGTTTTTGTATATTGTGTAGTTTAGTGAATCCTGGGTGCATTTGTATACTGATTCTAGATTAGTCTAGACATATCTGTTGTATGGATTGTTAACAGTTCACCAGTCAAATTAATGAACAGATAATTTGCAAAGTAAGTTTATAAACACAAATATACTGCTTTAAAAAAAGGTAGCGCCATTAATTGTACATGAATGCAGATGGATTTGAAGGTGCGAGTATGCGATGTATTGTGTTTCATATCAGAGACACTTCCTATAGTAGCAACTAAAGCACTTCAGTCAAAGCATTTTTGGCACTGCTTATCACTCGCCTCTGAGGTTATCAAGGCGAAATGTAGGCCTACAAAAGGGATTTAAGTATAGAGTAGAGTGCTACAACAAAACAGAGTGCCCATTGGTAGAAATGTCACTGACTACAGTTTTAGCTTTTATCCTAGTGGATTCTGTAAGTTAATAACTGCCCAGGCAGGCAAATACCCTTTATTTCATATTTACAAATCATACATATTATATGTTCAGTACTTCAGAATGAATATAAATTACAGTCTTGGCATTTAAAGATATTTACATGCCTGCAAACTCAATGCTTTTGGGCAAAACTGAATGTGTCTTTAAAGGGAACTGACTGTTTTCAGAGTTTTAATGGCATTTTCTTGTCCTCCTCGGATTAATGTCAATACAATGGTGTTTAAAATGCACATCTGCATTGTGTACAGGGGTATACGCTGAATTTCTGCTTTTCATAAGCATCACCTATACTGTCAGAGAGTTGAATTTGAATTTTCATTCAGCCTGTTTGCCGTTTTTGTTCAGAACAGTTATATTTAAATTACATAACTTAATCATTTTGATTCATCCTTTTTCTTAAAAAATAGTTTAAAGGCTGAAATAAGGTTAAGCATTTATCAACTTATATTTGAACTGTAAAGCCGTTTAAATCATTGTTTTTATGGCCATTTTACAGTTAATGTTACCATAGACATTTGTGTTGTTTCAAAACATCTTGACTCTAAAACATGTAGGTCTATTCAAATATCAGAATTTCTTCAAAATTATTTCAACTGCTGGGATTCATGAAAATCTAAATTTCTTAAGATAAAATCCAAGTTCGTAAAAATGTTCCTAAGTACAATTCTTGTTGAATAATTCTCAAACATTATCTTTTTAAAACATAGACATTGGTATTGTCTGATTGTATGGTGGTTTATGCCAAAGACTTGCTGATCAACTCAACTCCTCATAGGCGAACGCAGATTACTGAAATAATCGTAATTATCATGAATAATCTTATAATGCTTAAAGGGGTCATATGATGTTGCTAAAAAGAACATTATTTTGTGTATTTGGTGTAATGAAATGTCTTTATGCAGTTTAAGGTTAAAAAAACACAGTATTTTCCACATACTGTACATTATTGTTTCTCCTCTATGCCCCGCCTTTCTGAAACGCGTCAATTTTTACAAAGCTCATTGTTCTGAAAAGCAAGGTGTGCTGTGATTGGACAGCTATCCAGTGCGTTGTGATTGGCCGAATACCTCAAGCAGGTGTGGTTGACTCTTAACTTTTATAAAGAATATCTCTTTGGATTTGAGACTTTAGTCTTTGCAACTTTACAGACCTTCTTTATGCACCAAGAGCTTGTATCACTTCAAAGAGAAAGGAAAAATTTAAATCGCATCGCATGACCCCTTTAATGCTTGAAATGCAATCTAGAAAATAGCAGTTAAGAAACCTTTTTTTTTTCTTTTTTTTTTATAATGTTTGGTGGTCTGATTCCTGATTCACCATCTTTTTTTCCAGTCCAGAGTTTGCAGGCATAGTTCACTTAAATTATATGTAGTGTCTCCATACGGTTTTGTTGGTACAGTAGATGGAAAATGGAGAGTCTATATTTATCAAGCTATGAATAGAGTCCTGCAGGAGAAGCTTCTCATAACGGCATGACTCAGTGAAAGCTGCAGCGTATATGTGTGTGTTTCCCTCATCGCATGGAACTTTTGCCTGTGCATACTTAAGCATCCTCATATCTGCAGAATCTGCCTGAACTTGTACATGTTTACTCTCTGACAATTTCCAAATGAGTTCTAAAGTCATTTACTGTGGTGTTTTCACTTTGGAGAGTGAATCAATGACCAGCTTTAGAGCTCAGATAGAAAATGACCCAGTTCGCTCGAGTCATGTGTCTCGGAGGGCACGTCCCGCTGTTTCACAGCCAAG